AGACATCAGTCATACCCGCTGTATATGAAAGCACTGAAGCACTGAAGCACGGAAAGCAGCCTTTCCTCCAGGTTTTGGAAAGCACATTGCTGTAATCTCATGAATGGACAATTACACCTGGTTTCTAGCAGGAAAAAAAATATCTATTCTAGGCACTGGTGTTCTTTATTTATCCCCCTCAGCAATTCCCTGGCTGCCCCTTGCTGCTCTTTAACTGTGTCCTGCCCACATATGTGTGTGCTCAGCTTCTGTGGCAAGTTGTACTTATCACACCCAAACATCCCTCTTGAATACCAGGGCACGGTTTACAACTTCTGTTTCACATAGGAGCAACAGAATATCCAGGTAATTCTAGTCAAAGTTTGTTTGGTTGCAAGAAATACACAAACTAGCTTGAATGAAAGTAAGATTCTTTTAGGTGGGGGGTTGCGGGGGGACAGGGTCTTGTTCAGTTGCCCAGGCTGGAGTGAAGTGGCGCCATCATGGCACATAGCAACTTTGATCTTCTGGGCTCAAGCCATCCTCCCACCTCAGCCTTCTGAGCATCTGGGACTACAGGTACATGGCACCACCAAAGCTAATTTTTTAAAAAGTTTTTTTGTAGGCTCGGCACGGTGGCTCACACCTATAATCCCAGCACTTTGGGAGGCCAAGGCGGGCAGATCACAAGGTCAGGAGATCGAGACTATTGTGGCCAACACCATGAAACCTCATCTCTACTAAAATGCAAAAAATTAACTGGGTGTGGTGGCATGCGCCTGTAGGGCCAGCTACTCAGGAGGCTGAGGCAGGGGGAATCTCTTGAACCCAGGAGGCAGAGATTGCAGTGAACCGAGATTGCGCCCCTGCACTCCAGCCTGAGATAGTGAGACTTCGTCTCAAAAAAAAAAAAAAGAAAAAGAAAAAGTTTTTTTGTAGAGCCAAGGCCTTGCTATATTTTGTAGGCGGGTCTAGAACTCCTAGCTTCAAGGGATCCTCCCACCTTGGCCTGCCAAAGTGTTGTGAATACAGGTGTGAGCCACTGCATCCAGCCAGGACTTCTTATAAGAATACACAACCGACAGGAAATTGAAGGCACTAAACCCAAACCTCACTCAGGCAAAGCAGCTTCCCTCGAGTTTGGCTCTCATATGCAGGGTGAGAAGAGGGGGAGCTTATAAGAAAGACTGGGGCTTTCCCAGAAATGCTACTCACAAGATCGTGTATAAAACAATCTTTAAAGTTGCTTGGAGGCCTAAGGAGGAAAGAAAATTGTTGAAATACATCTTTATGTGTGATATGGTTTGGCTGTGTCCCTACGCAAATCTCATCCTGAAATGTAGCTCCCATAATTCCCATATGTCATGAGAGGGATCAAGTGTGAGGGAACTGAACCATGGGGGCAAGTCTTTCCCATGCTGTTCTTGTGATAGTGAATAAGTCTCAGGAGATCTGATGGTTTTCTAAAGGATAGTTCCCTTGCACATGCTTTCCTGCCTGCCTCCATGTAAGATGTGACTTTGCTCCTCATTTGCCTTCTGCCATGATCATGAGGCCTCCCCAGTCACGTGGAACTGTGAGTCAATTAAACTTCTTTCCTTTTTAAATTACCCAGTCTTTGATATGTCTTTATTTGCAGCATGAGAACAGACTAATACAATGTGATTTTTTTTTTAATTATAAAAAGCATCCTGTACTGCCTCTGGGTGACACAGTGATTTTAATTACACAGGCCCTTCTGTTCACCCTTCCTGCTCTTTCTCCAACTATTGTTGGAAGATGGGTTAATAAGAGTCTCTTGGAGAGCTCTCCCAGGCAACCTTTCTATCCGTGTCACTGCCTCATCCAGTCTTTCATCTCCTCTCCTCTTTTTGCTGCTCTTCCATCCTCAATCTTTGCTTGCTTGGTCAGCTGCCTTCCTCAACTTTGTTTCTGCACCTTCTCTCTTAAGTTTAACTTGATCCACAACTGCATCCCTTTATTAAGCCACCCTCTTATTCTTTTTTTTTTTTTTTTTTTTTTTTGAGACTGGAGTGCACAATCTCAGCTCACTATAGCCTCCACCTCCCGGGTTCAAGAGATTCTCCTACCTGATTACCAGCCTCCTGAGTAGCTCCTACCAGCCTCCTGAGTAGCTGGGATTACAGGTGCGCACCACCACTCGTGGTTAGTTTTTGTTTTTTTTTTAGTAGAGATGGGCGGGGTTTCACCATGTTGGTCAGGCTGGTCTCAAACTCCTGACCTAGTGATCCACCAGCCTCAGCCTCCCAAAGTGCTGGGATTACAGTCATGAGCCACTGTGCCTGGCCGCCACACACTTATTGTGTATTATCTTTCAGTGCAAATCTTGTCTCTGTAACCATCGAGTCAGATTCCCAAGAGGGAAAATTTAACTGGTCACTTTCCATCTAGTAGCTTTATAGGTATGGGCCACGTGTTCACCAAGATCTAATCAGAGCAACTGAAGGAGGAAGAGGGCCACAAGCTAGCTACCTAGGTTAGGGCACACAATGCTAGGAGGGAGTGTTGTAAGAGGCAGCAAACAGACTGCTATGTCCTCCACTCCCAAGTCTCCCAGCTCTCCCTGGTAAAACCAGCCCAAGATGCCAGAGCTTCTGATGCTTAACCCAATGCTGTATCCACTAGAATATTTACAATAAATATGCTAAAAATGAAGTTTCTCCATCCAGAAATAGACCCACGTATGTGCAGTCAATTGATTTACAACAAAAGTAACAATGAAGTGAGAAAGTATAGCCTTTTCATAAACAGTGCTGGAGCAATTGGATCTCCTTATAGGAGTAAAAACAAACCTTGACCCCTACCTCATGTCACACTCAAAAGCTAATTTGAGACACAGTATAGATAGGAATGTAAAAGGTAAAATAAGAAGGTTTATAAAAGATATATAGGATAATATTTTCTTGTTGAAGAAATCTTGACAGGCAAAGATTTCTTCAACAGTACACAAAAAAACCCTATAATAGCAAAAAAAAGGTTTTAATAAATTGAGGCTCAATAAAATGTTTAATAAATTGAATCTCAATAAAATTAACTTCTGTTCTTCTCTATAAAGATGGTAAACAAAAAAGCCACAGAATGAGAGAAAATTTGGTAATATGTAGTACAAAAAAGGATTCATATCAAGAATATATTTAAGACAGTATTTAATAGATCAATACTGTGATTAGGGTGACTGTAGTTTACAATAATCTATTGAATATTTCAAAATAGCTAGAAGAGAATAACTCGAATATTCCTAGCATAAAATATGACAAATATTTCAGGTGATGGCTATCTCAATTACACTGATTTGATCTTCACAAATTATACAGATGTATTAAATTGTCACAGGTACTCTGAAAATATGTACATCTATTATGTCTCAATGACAAATAAATAATAATTTTTAAATAAAATTAAATTTTTAAAAAAGAAGACATAAAGAACTTCTACAAATCAATAAGAAAAAGACAACAAAAATTAAAACGGACAAAGTTTAGGGACTTCACATTAAAAAGTATCCAATTGACCTATAAGCATATGAAAAGTTGGTCAGCCTCATCTTTGACCAGGGAAATGAAAGTTCAGACCACAGTGAGATACCACTACACATCCACCAGAATGGGTAAAATTAAAAAGACTGAGCTACAAAGTATTGATCAGGATACAGAGCAACTGTAGCTCTTATATGTACATTATTGCTGAGAGTTCAGCCATTTTAGAAAACAGTTTGACAATAACCACTAAAATTAAACGTATACTTATGATCCAGCAATTCTGCTTCTGGGCATACACTAAAGAGAAATTAGTGCTTCTGCCAAATAAAAGACATATGCCAATTTTTTTTTGTCTTTTGGGTGTTTTTTTGGGGTGGCGTTGGGGTTTTTCTGTTTTTGTTTTTGTTTTTTTGAGACACAGTCTCACTCTATCACCAAGGCTAGAGTGCAGTAGTGCAATCTCGGCTCACTGCAACCTTTGCCTTCAGGATTCAAGTGATTCTCTTGCAGTGATTCTCCTGCCTCAGCCTCTCAAGTAGCTGGGATTACAAGTGTGCACCAACACGCCTGGCTAATTTTTGTATTTTTAGTAGAGATGAGGTTCGGTCAGGCTGGTCTCGAGCTCCTCACCTCAAGTGATTCACCCTCTTTGGTCTTCCAAAGTACTGGGATTACAGGCATGAGCCACTGCACCTGACCAACATATATTCTTAACACTTTTATTTGTAAGTCAATACTGAAAACAATCTGGATGCCCATGAATTGGAAACTGGATAAATTCTGATATACTCTGACAATGGAATGCTATCTACAAATTTTAAAAGTCTACTGATAGAAGCAATAACATGAATGAATCTCATAGACATGTGCAGTGAAAGAAGCTAGACACAAAAGAGAAATCCTGTGTGAGTCCATTGATAGGAAGTCCACAAAGATACAAAACTAAAGGATTATGCTAATAATCAGAATCGTGGTTAATTCTGGTAAAGGCCAAGGATGGACAAGGACGGAGCACAAGGGAGCTTTCTCAGGTGCTACAGGTTTTCTTATCTTGATCTAGATAGTAGCTACATGAGTATATACATACATATAAATGTATTGAGCTATATATGTATAACATATTTTGTGTACTTCAATGTGCATTTCAATTTCGTACCTCAATAGAAAACTAAGTAAATAAATAAGTAGATTCTAAGTAAGAGACTAAATGGACAGAAGCAATGATCCTTCTCATTTTTTGTCTTTTCTAGACTATATTTAAAGCCATATGAAATAAAGGAGTAGAAACTAGTAGTATTGACACAGCAATTAATAATCTTTAAAATAGCCATGGCAGGTTGGGTGCAGTGGCTCAGGCATGCAATCCCAGCACTTTGAGATGCCAGGGCAGGAAGATCACTTGAGCCCAGGAGTTCAAAACCAGCCTGAGCAACAAAGCAAGACCTGCCTCCACCTACATTTTTTTAATTTAAAAAATGTATACAATAAAACAAAATAAAATATCCATGACATCACATTATTAGGAGTTTTACAAATAATTTTTAAATAAATCCTTATATTTTCTCATATGGAAATGAAAAATGCCATTCCATTTTAAATACTCTGGGGGTCCTGATTTTCCTCACAGTCTGCAGTTTCACTTTAGCAATCAAACACTGATAAGAACAGATACTACACTTGATCTTAGCCAAAAGGTCGAGAAGCAATAACAGAGATATGGACCAATGGAACAGAACAGAGCCCTCAGAAATAATACCACACATCTACAGCCATCTGATCTTTGACAAACCTGACAAAAACAAGAAATGGGGAAAGGATTCCCTATTTAATCAATGGTGCTGGGAAAACTGGCTAGCCATAAGTAGAAAGCTGAAACTGGACCCCTTCCTTACATCTTATACAAAAATTAATTCAAGATGGATTAGAGACTTAGACCTAAAACCATAAAAACCTTAGAAGAAAACCTAGATAATACCATTCAGGACATAGGCATGGGCAAAGACTTCATGTCTAAAACACCAAAAACAATGGCAACAAAAGTCAAAATTGACAAATGGGATCTCATTAAACTACAGAGCTTCTGCACAGCAAAACAAGCTACCATCAGAGTGAACAGGCAACCTACAGAATGGGAGAACATTTTTGCAATCTACGCATCTGACAAAGGGCTAATATCCAGAACCTACAAAGAACTCCAACAAATTTATAAGAAAAAAACAAACAACCCCATCAAAAAGTGGGCAAAGGATATGAACAGACACTTCTCAAAAGAAGACATTTATGCAGCCAACAGACACATGAAAAAATGCTCATCATCACTGGCCATCAGAGAAATGCAAATCAAAACCACAATGAGATACCATCTCACACCAGTTAGAATGGCAATCATTAAAAAGTCAGGAAACAACAGGTGCTGGAGAGGATGTGGAGAAATAGGAACATTTTTACACTGTTGGTGGGACTATAAACTAGTTCAACCATTGTAGAAGACAGTGTGGCCATTCCTCAAGGATCTAGAACTAGAAATACCATTTGACCCAGCCATCCCATTACTGGGTATACACCCAAAGGATTATAAATCATGCTGCTATAAAGTCACATGCACACGCATGTTTATTGCGGCACTATTCACAATAGCAAAGACTTGGAACCAACCCAAATGTCCATAAATGACAGACTGGATTAAGAAATTTGGCACATATACACCATAGAATACTATGCAGTCATAAAAAAGGATGAGTCCATGTCCTTTGTAGAGACATGGATGCAGCTGGAAACCATCGTTCTCAGAAAACTATTGCAAGAACAGAAAACCAAATACTGCATGTTCTCACTCATAGGTGGGAATTGAACAATGAGAACACTTGGACACAGGAAGGGGAACATCACACACCGGGACATGTTGTGGGGTGGGGGAAGGGGGAAGGGATAGCATTAGGAGATATACCTAATGTAAATGACAAGTTAATGGGTGCAGCACACCAACATGGCACATGTATACAATATGTAACAAACCTGCCCATTGTGCATATGTACCCTAGAACTTAAAGTATAATAAATAAAAAAAAATCGAACACACAGTGCCATCTTTGCCCTTAAACCATGCTTGAAATCTCTGTTAGATCAGGAAAAGTGATACAGGGAAACAGCTTTTAACTTCTCAAATCCGATAAAGACCAAATGGATTTCTGTAAAGAAAGAATCAAATGGAATTAATGCTTTTTAGCCATATTCCTTCTCTGGTGGGAAATGCAACCTTAACACAAGTACTTTCCATACTTGGCCTCCTGTTTGTTAGGAAAACAAGAAACAAGAAGTTGACCTTGGGAGGACGAATCTTGAGCAGAACTCTGCTCCAGGCAAAAGGGATAACAGAAGCAGCCACCGGTATGATACTGAAGTAGGGGGAAGGGTGTTGTACACCTTGAGATAAAGTCTAGGAAACTCGAGCTTTTGTCTGGAAGCAACGAGCAGAAAAGTAGAGACGCACTTGAGCAGAAGGAGGCACTGGAGTTTGAATGACAGCTTGTCTTCATCCTTAGTGCCCTCCTGCTGACCTCCTGGAAAATTAGATTTCCACTCAAGGGAAAAAGTCTGCATGCATTTCCTCAGCCGTAATTTACTTCTTTAAAAAAGAGGGTATTAGACAAAATAATTAGACTTTAAAAAGAAAAACAAAATATGCTATGATGAAATAGAAAGAACTATCCAAAAATTTCTTTGAAGACCTTGTTCTTCCATAAGTGAGTTATGTAGCTTTGTGTGACCTGCCCTCTACCCAACTTTTCTGGGTCACAGATTCCTCGTTTGTGAAATGAAGGAGTTGAGTCTGATGATTTCCATCAGCCCTCCCTGCCCTAACACTAAGTTGTGTTTCATATTCTCTATTTAAAGAACCTGAAAAGGATGTGATAAAGTTTTAAAAAGAGTTTCGTCAAATATGCTTTGAAAAGGAAAGTTGGTGCTTAGAGGGGTTCACTTCACCAAAGTGACATTTTATGCCTCTGAGCACCTGCTCTCAGCTGATTTCATTTTGGTACTTTTTCTCTCTCTGTATACAACTCTTCCAAATGCCAGTTCCTCTATTAACATCAGCCTCGATTCAGAATACCACCCACCCTCCTGTACTGTCTCAGGAGCTCCAAATAGAATGTTACTAAAGGGACAATTGGTTTTTGTCTATTCACAGAGATAGAGAAACGGATGAAGGCAATCATCAAAGCCTCAGCTCCCTTCCTTGAGCCCTGGAACATGCACCAGTTTTACTGGGAGCAAGGCTCTGGCTCAGCAGCCTAACCAGGATGTCTCCATTGAGAACCATTTATACAGGTTCACTGGCCTGAGCAAAATTGAGGGTTCACTGTTCAATTTCAACAGAAACCAAAAACAAACAAAAATAGAGCCCTCTAGAAAGCAAGTTGAAATGACCATAGCTTCAGTTCTATAATACAGGGCATAATTGTTTTTACGTGCTTTTCATGTGCCCTGTGCTACTACAGGTATGAGTCACTGAGCCCTGCCAGGACTCCTTATAAAAATACACAACCTATGGGAAATTGAAGGATTTGAAATTGACAAGGCCCCCTCACCTGGGAATCTTGTCAAAATGCAGATTCTGATTCAGAGGGTCTACAGCGTGTCACAACCTCCTGTAGCTCTGACAAGCTCATGGTGCTGCTGGAGCTGCCAAGCCACAGTCCATACTGAGTAGAAGAGTATAGAGCCTTTCAGATTCATTCTGGATTCTGCATCTATCTCATAACTAATGGATCTAGTCTCTGGTATTCTATTAACCAAGACATCCTCTGATCAACAATCCTGCATCTGCAATATTCTGGTCATTGACTTGAGTCTGCATTTTCAGGTGCTAGTAGTATTCTAAAAACAGTGATTAGAGTTTAGAGGTTGTAAGTTTGGTTTCATGTCCTATCTTCACCACTCATTTCCAGTGTATGACCTTGGGCAGAATAGTTAATAATCTGTGCCTCAGTCTCTTAGTTTCTTCATCTCTGCGGTCTCTAGAATTCAACAGAGCCATCACCTTGAGACAGGGCTTCAGTTTCCTCATCTGCACAATAGACCCGTCTCAACGAGATGTTAAGAGAATTAAATAAGATAATGGGCCAGCACATAATTGATATTTGTTCAGTGTTATCTAAGACAATTTATATTATTTTCTTGTTTCACTACCCCAGGTATTTTAGTGCACTATAATATTTTGGTAGAAAATATGTGTAGAGCCTGTAATCCCAGCACTTTATGAGGCTGAGGCAGGAGGATTGCATGAGCCCAGGCTGGAGTTCCAGACAAGCCTGGGCAACAAAGTGAGGCCCTATCTCTACAAAAAATAAAATAAAATATCCAGGCATGGTGGCATGCACGTGTAGTCTCCGCTACTCATAAGGCTGAGGCAGGAGGACCCCTTGAGCTCAGGAGTTTGAGGTTGCAGTGAGCTATGATTGCACCACTGTACTCCAGACTGGATGACAGAGAGAGACCTTGAAAAAAAAAAAAGAAAGAAGGAAGGAAGGAAGGAAGGGAGAGAGAGAGAGAGAGAGAGAGAGAGAAAGAGAGAGAGAGAGAGAGAAGGAAGGAAGGAAGGAAGGAAGGAAGGAAGGAAGGAAGGAAGGAAGGAAGGAAGGAAGGAAGGAAGGAAGGAAGGAAAGAAAGAAAGAGAAGCAGGAAGGGAGGGAGGGAGAGGAAGGAAGGAAGAAAGGAAGGAAGGAAGGAAGGAAGGAAGGAAGGAAGGAAGGAAGGAAGGAAGGAAGGAAGGAAGGAAGGAAAGAAAGAGAAGCAGGAAGGGAGGGAGGGAGGGAGAGGAAGGAAGGAAAGAAAGAAAGAGAAGCAGGAAGGGAGGGAGGGAGGGAGAGGAAGGAAGGAAGAAAGGAAGGAAGGAAGGAAGGGAGGGAGGAAGGGAGGGAAGGAGTTCCAAGATGGCCAAATAGGAACAGCTCTGGTCTGCAGATCTCAGCATGATTGATGCAGAAGGTGATTTCTGCATTTCCAACTGAGGTATCTGGTTCTTCTCACTAGGACTGGTTGGACAGTGTGTGCAGCCCATGGAGGGCAAGCTGAAGTGGGGCAGGGCGTCACTCACCCAGGAAGCACAAGGGGTCAGGGGATTTCCCTTTCCTAGCCAAGGGAAGCCATGACTGACTACCTGGAAAAATGAGACATTCCCACCCAAATACTGTGCTTTTCACAAGGTCTTAGCAACTGGCAGACAAGGTGATTCTCTCCCGTGTGTGGCTCAGTGGCTCCCAAGCCCACAGAGGCTTGCTGACTGCTAGCGCAGTAGTCTGAGATTGATCTGCAAGAAGGCAGATTGCCTGGGGGAGGGGCATCCACCGTTGCTGGGGCTTGAGTAGGTAAACAAAGCAGCTGGGAAGTTCAAACTGGGTTGTGGCCACCACAGCTCAACAAGGCCTACTGCCTGTAGACTCCACCTCTGTGGGCAGGGCATAGTTGAACAAAAGGCAGCAGAAACTTGTACAGACTTAAACATCCCTGTCTGACAGCTCTGAAGAGAGCAGTGGTTCTCCCAGCATGGAGTTTGAGCTCTGAGAATGGACAGACAGCCTCCTCAAGTGGGTCCCTGACCACCATGTAGCCTAACTGGGAGACATCTCCCAGTAGGGGCCGACAGACTCCTCATATAGGCGACTGCACCTCTGGGACAAAGCTTCCAGAGGAAAGATAAGGCAGCA